AATCTTGTTATTAAATGAGGCTTTATCAGTAAAGTTCGATTATAGTGGCTTACCACAAGCTGTAGGCTTCACTCCGACATTTCCATCTAAAACTTTATATCTCACTCTTGTCAGGCTACCATTCATTTTGTTTAGAACTTTTCTTCTGAGTCGAAGAAATAGTCGTACTGTAACAATTTATATCAGTACGATGCAGTAATGGATAGCGGCTTGGATTGAGGAATCGGAGAGCCGAGTTCGAATTCCAGTGGAATCCATTACATTCACTTACGTTCTAATACCCTTGGGAAACGTATGAATCCTCTTCTTCTTCTCCCCACCCAGCTATGTAGGACAGACAGGGTTCTATAGCCTTGGATGGCAACTAGTCTACCGCAGAAAGAAATGGCCACGTACTGCTGGGAAAAAAATCTACCTCGTCAGTCATGTATCGAAAGATACATAATCGCCTAAGCGTGTATCACGACATGGCACATAAGTGACTGAATTAACGCAGCTGAATGGCAATAGAAAATAATTAGCGTTCCAAAAGGCTGACGTTAGAGAAAATCCAACAAAAGCCGACCAACAAGTCAGACGTCATGACGATGCCAACTCCAGTCCGCGTCGATCTCGCTTCTCGACTCGGCTTCATTAAATCTTGAGCGTAGCTTTAAAGCCGACATTTACAACTGACGAGACTAAATCGTCTATAATTGATTGACTGATTTTGAATCGGAAGTGTGATTTGTCCCCACGGTGTTATTTATTCTCTGCGTTGATGTACTACAACGATAATAGGGTATTGGTTTAATCATTTGCCGCTGTCCTTCTTTGCGCGCATGCGTCACCGGAAAGAAGCACAGTATTTTATCGATAGTATACAGGAAGTGGCAACAGGAAAAAGCTGTTTGCTGATAATTGATTCCCTTCCTGTCAGACACGGAGGTTAAGCTTTCTTGTGACGGCACTGAGGTTGGCCATCTGGATACAACCTTTAGGACGAGTAAGATGATGAAAAGAATTGTTTGGGTAATTCTGTTCAAATGTCTATATAAACAGAAGAATGACTTCTTCTCATGTGTGCCGCGTCCCTTCGGGACATAAGCGATCATGGCTCTCCACAACTTTCTATCTCGTGTGACTCTTAGCAGTTGCTAAGGCTCTCCTACCGTCCAGTAAACCACACAAGCTTGTCAAATGTGAGGCTCGCTGCTTTTCCTTCTCTTTCTGAAATTGAGTACATTTTCCCATGAAAACCTTCTTCTTTGTGCCATATTCCTTCAGGACATAGGAGATCATAGCTCTCCATGACTTCCTATCTCGTGTAGCTCTTAGTTTTTCTTCATTTGGTAAGGTCCCTCCATTCCATCATCCATTCACATAAGTTCGTCAGTTAAGTAGCGTGCTGCCTCCCCCCCTCTCTCTCTCTCTGATATTGGACACTTTTACTAATAAATATTTTCTTTTTCTTATATGTGCCGCGTCCTATCGAAATAAAAGCGATCATGGCTCTCCACAACTTCCTCTCACGCGTGGCTCTTAGCCGTTTTTCTCCTTTTGCTAAGGCTCCCTCCCCACTTCCGCCATACATTCACAAAATTTCGTCTGGTAAGTAGCTCACTGCCTCCTTCTATCTTTCTGATATTAAGGGCTTTTTCCAATAAATATCTTCTTCTGTGTGCTACCTCCCTTCAGGGTATAGGCTATCATGGTCCTCCACAACGTTCTCATATGGCGCTTACCAGTTTTTTCTTCCTTTGCTGATGATCATGCATCCCCGTGCAATTCAGTCACGCAAGCTGGTCAGGTAAGTGGCTAGTCGTCTTCCTCTATCACTCTTGCCCGGTGAGGGTTAAGTTTTCTTTTCATTTAAAACACTTTTTTGCTGAATGAAGAGACTAATTGCTTGTAAGAAAGAGGTTTAGGAAGATGGTTTCGGACCTGCTCAATGGTTCCCATAGAGAAAGCGTTAGAGTAAAGGAAATCATGCGCGCGAATGTGCACGTAGATATACACGAACACAAACACACACAGAGGTGCACATGGATGAAGACACATAGATACACGCACATCGACACATACACGCGGAGATAAACACAGGCACAGGATTTGAATACACAGGATGCAATTACAGTTACACTCAAGTGGATAAACGCACGTAGATGCATACACATACACATACACACATATTCACGACGAGAACACACTCTCAGACATACATATTTACACATATATGAGACAGACGAATAGAGGCACGCACACTTTCATTCAGGAACACGCATACATACACCTATTTGCCCACACTGACGCACGCAAACACTCGCACGCAGCGAGACGAACATACACACACAGGGATATGTATTAACACACTGAGACACACACAAACGCACACAACTATGAAGATACACTAGAACATGGATATATACACACACATTTGGTGTACAGGTATAGCGATATACACATATGTATAGCATGGACAGAACCTGATAAAAATGGAAGTTTTGAGGAAAATGGGATTAAAAATGATACTTGTACTTAGAAGTAATTGAAATATCTGGAACATACGATGTCTGATCAAAAGTATCACGACCTCAGCTATAAAAAGGAAATAACACATCAATTCGGCGTTGGTCACTTCGACGTGGTGTAAAGGTTGTCCCAATCGGGGGATAGTGGGGACAAACTGCAATTGTCTATAAAATTGTTTCTGTCGCATGCGTCTCAAATAGCCACTGAAAACTAAGTCCAGCTCCAAGCCGAAGAATGCGCGTAGGCAGAAAATTGGCACCTCATAACCAGCTGTTCAGGTAGATGAAGCTCGACAGCCCAGGAAGGCAGTGCATCCAAGGGAAGGCAAAACCTGATTTTAAACCACCGCTACATTTCAGTTATATCCAGGCACAGAAAAAGACATGGAAGTCAATCCAGACATCAAAACCGGTGCCGGGATAGTAATCTATCTAGGGAAAGGCAAAACCTGATTTTAAATCACCACTAACTTTCAGTCATATCCAGACACAGAAAAAGGCCATGGGGGGGGGTAAATCCAGACAGCAAAACCGATACCCAGGATGGCATTCCATTTAGACGAAAGCAAACTCTGATTTTAAAACACTGCTACATTTCAGATATATCCAGACACAGAAAAAGGACATGGAGGTACCTCCAGTCATCAAAACCGGTGCCCAGAATATGAAATCCATCTAGGGGAAAGCAAACCCTGATTTTAAACCATCACTACTTTTCAGTCATATCCAGACACAGAAAAAAGCCATGGAGGTAAATCCAGACAGCAAAATCGATGCCCAGTATACCAGGTAATTTATGGGAAGGTAAACCCTGATTTTAAACAACGGCTGTCTTTCAGTCATATTCAAACACAGAAAAAAGTCGTGGTGGTAAATCCAGACAGCAAAACCGATGCCCGATGCCCTATGTGGCGAGGTTGAGCGAATGGATGCTGGAACAGGGTTTGGAAGAGATATCAAAAAGACAAATGTTATTAAAAGTAAGAAAGGATAGGAAATTGTGGTGTGCCATGATTACCAACGTCATGAAGGGACACGGTGCATAGAAAAACTAAGGTTTGTCTTTCCCCCTCCCTTACTCGTCGGTGAAATAATCCCGACAGAAACTGTTAACCTAGAACTTAAGGTTACAACTAGCCATTTCAACCGTAAAATGATGAGACCTTGCTGTCAATCTAGCGCTTAAATTCATAAAGTTTAGCTCACATAGAAGAAAATATTTTGTTTTATACAGAAATGTGGCACAAGGCCAAAAGAGGTAGTGGGGAGGACTGGTCCTCATCTGTCTTATAATTAAACTTAGCTCGCCACAATCACTAACCCAGACATACCATATTATTCTTTATACCAAAACAACACATTCTTATTTACCATTTTTATTACAGTCACCATAATACCTCGGGGTCTCTATGAAGTCCTGACTAGTCTCCATATGTATAATTTGTCTGTTGGGAGATATAAATAACAGTAGAGGAGAAATTCGTCAAAATAATTACCATGAAAGTATTTATAGAAAAGGCACGGGCAAACTACTAACTAAAGGCAAGATGCCAGGTCAGGACCAATAACATTGCAGATTCCTCTTTGTATCTTATCAAGAATCTCTAAATGTATATCACGAACACCAGACCAGATATGGCAGTAATATTCAGTGCATGGTCGAATGGTAGACTTATAAATTTTCAAGATTGATTCTGAAGAGAAAATTGTTTAACACGACAAAGCGAACTCGTAATATCATCGCAATTGGTCTAGCGAGATAAACTTCATAACCATTACATTACATCGAAGTGCCCTGGGTGTATAACTTATGAATTGGCGTTATTACTACTCAGAAATCTGTGTCAGCCTTTTAATCACACATAAATGGCTACCATGGATATTGCTACCAAGATAGGATCTCTGAAAGAACCAATATCAGGATTTTCGACTTACATTTTTACTTGATGAAAGAAAAAGGACAATGTTATTTACTTTTTGCTTTTTTTTTTCTTCTTCTTTGTAACAAGATGGCGACGACGTTTTTGTTTTTGTACTCGGAAGAGAAATTTTGCCAAATCAGATCATTTTTCTCTCCTCATCCTTTCTTCTCCAACTCCTGACACCAAGATAAAATGGATAATGATTTTAAAAAAAATTCGAGAAATAAAATACAAAATGTATCTGACTGAATTCGTTTCAATAAAACGCGCTTCAATCAGAATAGTTAAAGAAATATTAATGAAATGAATTTGTATTTTGTATAGTCTTTCAGTATTTTCTTTTCTTTTCCGGGTTTTCTTTTTTTTTCTTTTTAAGCTTAGTATGTTAGAAAGCTGCAAGACTAGTTGCCCCCATTGACGAACGAACCCGTTCTAAATGAGAGTGTCTATGCGATAAACGTACAAACGAATAATAATCTCCAGCTCAGCGACTTTTTCTTTCTTTCTTTCTTTTTTCTTTTTTCTTATAAAAGAATTGTTTCATCATAATCATCTGTCCGTTTGTCAG